GGGGAGACACACCGCACCCCGCCGCCCGTGAGCCCCCTTAAAAAAGGGCTGCGGGCGTTGGGCTATAACCGCAAGCAGGGAAACGACCTAGTAACGGTTCTGCATCCCATACAGCTAAAAACCTGCCTTTGTCAGGTTTCAGGTTCTCTTACTAAAGAGTCACCACATCCACAGGCGTGGCAGAAAATACTGCCATTGCTTATTTATGGGCTTAACTGAAATGGGGAAAAATGTATTTTTTAAGTTACTACTTCGGCTGAAACTCGGTTCTTAGCAATGCGGGAATGATGAGAATCAAGTATCTGAAATGCGCTATACATACCTGCGTGGCTTCGATGTCGATAACCTTGTAAGATAACTCCTCTGGTCTAGTCAATGCAGCATGTCTTGATTAAAAACATGAAAAGAGTGCTTAATCCCATGAAGGAAATTATAAAAAGTAAAAAAGTAAATTATAAAAATCAGATTTCAGGAGGCTCACATAGGCATGAAGTTTGGACATCCCTACTCCTACTAGACAAATTAACATATTGACCCCTGTTTGGAGACCTTTGCCTGTCGTAGATTTTTTATGCAGTGTAGAACAACAATCCCAGAGTTCAGATTAAAAGCAGGTATAACAAAAAGCCTCATTACCCTTGTGCTCCCTGCCAGGAAGGGGTTACGGTGTTTAAGCCTGTCAGGCTCATCAGCTCCATCAGTTACGCTTTTATCTCTGAAATATGTACGTGTATTTGGGGGGGAGTGCTAAAAGGGCTGAAGGGAAGTCTTTGTTCCGCAGGACAGAACTAGGCACAGATCGTCACCTGTCGCTGACTGCCAGTCCCACTCGGAGGGAATGCAAGGCCATGCATCACCAGAGACCGCAGGAAGGGAAACGGTTCTCCTTGCTGACAGCCGTAATAAAAAAAGTCAAGCAGGGAAACTACTCCTCTTTTGCTCCTGCAGGGACCATGTGGACCAGAATAAGAAAATGCTACAAACCCTGCTGTTCTGTCCCTAAGGCTTAAGGGCTATCTGTCCAGGGCTGTCCACATACATCACAAACCCCAAACCAAGAAGGACTTGAGCATACTCTTCCTCCTCGTCAGTTGTGAACAAATTCAGTCGGAATCCTGTCTCACTGCCACCAGGTTTCGTGACCTCCAGACCTCCCAGCAGCCTGGCCAAAAAGTTCAGTTCTTCTTTAGCAAGAGGGTTAGGGGCTATATTCTCCTGCAGAAAACAGCAATGGGTTCATTGGTCAGGTTACCAGGGAGATGAGGACTGTAATAAGTTTTGTGTTCTGATATTACATAAATGTTCTTCAGAGCAGTATAAATACATTTCTGTATTGTTAACGGTACAGACTGTGCAGATAACTAGTAATTATCAGCTATATATTTAAAATGGTTGCCTGAATTTATAGACCCAGAACAAGATAATGTTCCAGCTAAATTGAATGGTTGAGAAATCTGTAAAACCAGCTTCCTATTTCAATCTCTTCAGAAAACAGAAAGCAAGTACACCATTGCGTAAGCCTGTGTGTAAGATCCTTTAGAAAAACATGCTCTTCCCCTAGCTCTAAAGGGACTGTGGAGGATTGGATGGGGCTCTGAGAAGAACTAAACAGGTTCCCCCAAATATATCCCCTAAGTGTAGACTAAAAAGATGGTTATTATTTCCCTGAGAAAGGAGATGAACAAAGGGGAAGACAGTGCAACTGTATAGTAAATGATGTGGAGATGACGAGCGTGGGTGTTTCATTCAGTGTCCCCTTCTATGAAGAGTCAAGGGAAGCAGAATGCAAAATCTGCTCAAAGGAGACGCTCCCACACGTGTGACCGGCTGCAGGACTCACTGACACAGACTAATTAACCAGTAAACCAGTGACCGGAACAGAACAACACTGACCTTTGCATGGGATGCCAAGTTTTTGGATGATCCTGACATGTGTGTCTCTACTGGACGACTAACACTGTACCTAGAGAGTACATGAGGAAGAGCAACTTGTTACTTGTACATGATACAGGAACTGAAGGGAGTAGCACAGGATCTAAATACCATTTCAGGATATTTTTCTGAAGACTCCAAGTAATTGAAATGAGAAGTTACAGTTCACTTCTATAGAGTATTGAGGCATTAAATGTATGAGCAACAAAGCTGTAATAAAGAACACTGCTTTCTCTTATTCTGTGAATGGAAAATTACTTAAGACAAGCATCAAGAAAAGAAAGGATTTCTTGAACGCATTTAAAATTAAATTACTTTTCACAGAATATGCAGTACCAGATAAGAACACTTTTTACTCAGCTCTACTGTAGACATAGATCAAACTTTTGCTCTTTTCCACAGCTCATCTATCATAGCACATCTATCCATATGTGCTCTGTTTCAGGCCATCACTTTGCAAAGTCGTCAAGCTGATAATAGCGAAAGAGGCAAAAATAAATACACAAGGCTGAAGACGTGCTTCTGAACAAATCCATAACCATCAACGTTTACTTCACGTGTCTATGTAGGACAAAAATTACTTACATATTTGTTCCAAGTTTGAGGACTCTGTCTCCATAAAGATCAAAAGATCCTTCCCTTTGTGGAGTAACATAGTTTCCATCAGTGGTGAACTCAGTTCTTTTAACTTCATCTCCATTGCGATTAAACATCCTTAAAAACAAGGCATTACTGAAACATATTTAGTAGTGTTATTACTGATTTTCAGTACTTCCTCTGCTTACTGTACAAGAGAAATGGGAATAAAACCCTATTCTGTATGTTGGTAAATGGATAAATGACTAACAGCTAATTTACTGGAATAGAGAATGCCAGAAACAGCTTAGTATTTCATTGCTGGGTGACTTACTCCCAAATCCTGCCCCTTAAATAGTACTTACTGGAGCTTCAGCTATCCATGCAACATGAATGACAGGCTAAGCTTGATTCCTATTAGACCCCTGGGACTGACTGTTCCTCCGTGAGCAGCCATACATGCAAGGCACTGTAAACAGTATAAGCAGCGGTCCAGAATTCACCTGATGAGTCCTGGAACTTCCGTACCCCAAGGAACAGGGCCTGATATCGGCAGCACAAAGCGACCATTAGAGTTTTGCACTTTATCCTTCAGAAAGATAGACACCTGCAAAAGAATATTTCACCTTCTAGAAAATCAATTCCATATATTCTGATCCAAATTCTTTGAAGTCTGACCTTGCAGCCTTCCTGCCTAGACTGGGATTGGTTTCCTAAAGGTTTTGATGTATATAGAGACTATTAGTCGAAGCCACTAATATAGAATTGTGGTCCAGAGGACGGGCACATTGATGTAACATTTAAATAACAAAAAGTGTACTGTTTATGTACTTGAGTATGATTGATTTATTTAGAGACTATCAAGCCCCATGACTTCAAGCTCAGGTTCTCAGTTTCATATCAAGTTTCTACTAAAAGGAAAAACATATTTATCAGCTAGCAAATCCATATCAGTAGATATTCCTTTTTTCACAACATTTTGGAATTGAGCATTATTGTAGCAAATGTGCTCAATTTCTAAAATTTTGAAGACTGAAATTGCAAGCACATCAAGATGACTGAAAAGCAACAAACCCAAACTTACAGTGTAATTATGGCAAGACACGTTTGTGTTCTAACCACAAACTCCCTCCTGTTCTTACTAATTATATTGGGCTCTTACCCTTATGTGCATGTCCTGAAAAAAAATGAGGAGTGTTTGCCTGATGAGCTGAAATTCACCAGCAGAGAGACAGCTGTATGTCTGGAAAAGAAAAACCATCACGTAAAGCTTTGCAAGTGTACCATGTCCAACCCAGGTAAAGGTGAAAACAAGTGTATCAGAGCACCGCTAACCAAAAATGGTATGTGTGTGGCAGGGAAAGCAGAAATTATAAGGGGGGCTGCTGGTCATTATCAGGAATTATTATCCGTGACCAAGAGTCTGATTTAATTTTTGCTGAAGCCAGTGCAGACTTTGATCAGGCTGAATAAGCAATGTATTAATTTAAACTGGGCCTGTAGAAAAATAACACCTGACTCGTAGACATCTCCCTCTCTAGCAGCCCTTTGGAAATATTTCATAACTTCCCAGAACTTTTAACATTTTATGAAACCAGTTCCCTTTCACTGGGACACTCACATTCTTTGTCCAAAGAATTACAGCAGTTACATGAGCAAAAGTTGCTAACCAGGAGGCCAATTTCTTTCCCTCCGTTTAAAAAGAGGGGAGGTTATTTGGATGGTTCTCTGAGGTTGAGAACACGTCACCCTCCACACTTGGTATGGCACTTACTGATGTATTATTTAGTCTCTAAGAGTAGCTTGGAAGAGAAGAAAAAATATTAAACAACAGTGTGTCCCACCATATTTCTAAGGATTCTTACTTCAATCAGCTGTCGGAAAGTTTCGTCCACCTGGTTCAGAATGCCAGGAGAATCGCGTACGAAATCCTTGATCGCATCCAGGTGATTGAATGTGACCAGCAGAATGTCTTTGGGCCGAGGGCACAGCAGTACTTGGTACTTGAAAGCCATAGTCATGAGGTCATACAGCTGCAAAGCAACACGGGGAAATTGTGGTTCCATCACAGTGCACAACACTGCTTAGGTCACTTCATCTTGATGTGGAAAAGGATTTAGACACCTAGGTTAGCACCTGCCTATGGTAAGAAGAACCATTTTAGCTTTGTTTCCTAAGAAAATAAGACCTCTGCAATCACATTGTCAGCCCTCCTGCTGGTACCTCCGACTGCCTTTAAAACTACTGCCAGTTTCCACAACACCGACACACGGGTAGGGGTCTCACAGATAATCCGGTTCCTACAGTTTTTTTCAAATTGTCTGCTGGATATACTGTTTGCAGGCAAAATTTCTAACACCTGCAACTGCAAAACAGTGAGTGTCAATATAGAAATACATGTATTTATACACACCCACATAAGTATATCTTTTAAATATATATTAAAAGTCCAATAAAATCAAACATTTACATATTAAAGCAGAAATACTCAGTTCTGATACTACCATGGATTTCCCCAAAGCTTCCTTGGCCGAGAGCCATTTTTACAAAGAAAGCAAATGGAAAGAGGGCTGTTACAACACCATAAAGTCATGTACTAGTTATCGCAATTAGCATGGAAGTGCAGCTTAGGCAGGTGGGAAGGTGGTCTTTTTTACCTTGTCCATGCTCGCCTGGTTCAGTCTCATGATTGAAGCATGAGCTAGCCGGTCATACACTGTTCGCAGAGCTTTCTTGGAATAGAGTTCCTGTGGCTTAAACAGCTCTTCCATAAATTTTTTATTAAACATGGTTGTGATGATGTCATTCATAACTGCAAAGACAAAGAGTCTCTGTTTTTTGCTTTGGAAAGAGCACATTCATCTCATTCATCCCACACTGAAAACTTGGACACTGACTGCTGCAAGGATTGACATGAATGCTTACCTGTGAAAACTAGGTACATAGCCAGAAAAGAAAAAAGGAGGAGGATCATTGCTTCTTAATGTCAACATTTTTCTCAATCCCACATTGGTCTGAACAAGCAGCATGATTCCTTCTGACTGTCCCCAGGGGCAGAAATGCTACTTGAGCTGTAGACAACAAACCCCATTTTCCAGTGGGAATAAGACTGGTTTTGTTGCCTTGTTTTTGCAGCTATGGCTAGCACTTTTCACTTTTTAAATAATTTTGTTTATAGGCTATTCTGACATGTATTATCTATAACAGCTACAGTTCTGCTTCCTAAGACTGTTTTGTATCGCTCTAGATTTTTGCAGACTACAGCTATCTGACGCTCTCTGTTCTCTCTTTAGCCTTTGACACTATTAGTCTGTTTTTCCTTCCAAACAGAAGCTCCTGAGTGATTCAAGGCTCCTTGAAGTATTTGTTTCAAACGGATTAACACTGACCAGTATGTAAGGAAGTGTTTGTAGCACTGGGATCTATGTCAGGCCATTCAGGGCTCATACACAGCAACATCTGCAGCTACTAGAGCAGTTCAAAAACGCAGAACTGTAAACTTTCTTACGCATGCTTCTTTTGTTTGCATGTAAATTTAAATATGGAATTGTTATGCAGATTACTCAAGAGTATGTAGAGATCAGGAGTGCTGAGCATAAGGGCTATGCTCTGGTTATCAAGCTTTTAATGCAAAGAAGATGCAAACATTTTGCAGTGATTCAAGCAGATGCAGCATCTCTGCTTTTGTGCTGGATCTGATACTTTTATTATATACTTGATGAATTCTACAGTTATAAATAAGCATTTATTTCTCTATAAAAAAAAAAGTTACATAAAAATTTCAATTCACACACAATTACTGTACAAGCATGAATTTTCCTAAGCAGATGACTGTTACTGAAGCTCATAACGCCAGCTGATTCTTACGGATTAGAAAAATCTTAGAGGAAGTAATAAAAACAAAGAAAGTAAACATATACATAGTGGCAGTGATTAGCTATTTGAAATAATGCTATAATTATTCACTGGTGGGTTAAACACCTGGCTTTTCACAAATGTCATACTGAAGCTACACAAACAGCTCAAAGAAAGTTAATGTCCCAGTCACTTCATCTTTTCTTAGACGATTAACTCTCTGGGGAACACTGCTAGGTACGCTGTAGGCACTGAGAACCTGGACACGGCCAGCTGTTTTCCTGAGGGCAAGCGCCTTCTGATGCGATTCTCTCACCTTGCGAAAACCTGATGTTTACAGGTTTTCTCCTGCACTGGTGTACACCACTGGTGACACATCCATTGCACTGCACCCAATGGGGCTCTCTAGTTCCCGTTTTAAGTACCCGAACAATACAGACAGATCTCAGCTCAGCTTCTGAGCAGCATGGATTACAAATACGCTTAATTACACAGGAGGGGGGGATTGCTCCAATTCCTCCCTTCTTTTCAAATAAACTGTCCATAAAACAATCCTTACTTGCAGTCTGAGGCAAAGATCCTCGCTTTTTTCAGTGGAGAAAATAAAATATATTAGCATTAGTATGTATTTAATTTTGCAAGTAATAAATTATGACAAAAATAAAAATTTTTGCCTTACACTGCTATAAAGAAAAATATTTTTAAGTTGCTTGCATATGTTGTCTGAACGAACGCTTCTCCTCCGTCTTTGGATAGTCACTAATAACCAAAACTGCCAAGAGACAAACAACATCCCAGTATGTTGACTGTGGTAGATATCCATAATGGAATCAGATGATGTCTGTTTAAACACACACCCAGCCTCACATAAATTACCTTCTGAAATTAAAACCTCTTGTATTGGCTATAAAAAGAACTGAGAAAGACATAAAATATCATGGTAAAGGGCAAATCTCACATAGTATGTTTGATAATGACACAGCGAAGAGATCTTAGAGCACAGGGCGTCCCTAGGGAGATATTAACACCATTGTAACAATGGAAAATAACAAAGAAAGGAGCGTTAGCTCAGGGAAAATGGCACGCCAAGCAACATAGCATAAAAGCAATTTAGCAGAGAGGGGTTTCATCAACTGGGATAGGGAGAGGGAAACCAAGTAGAGACAATGCAATGGACAGAAGAGAAGCTGAGAATTTACAGTGGTTTTCGCCTATATGTGCCATGTCACTGGTGACAGACACGTTCCAACGTCTAGTGCGCTGTCACGTAACATGGCTCGGATGCATGTCATGAGACTGGAGTCTTTCCGTCTGGGTTATGCTCATGCTTCTCAGAGGACATTCAAGGCAGCAGAGGGAATGTTACCAGTTCAAAACAGTCACACATATTTGTAATAGGTTTATAGTTTGTAACAAGGCCAAAGGCAGGCGAGGCTGCCTTGTCATGGCTTCACCAGCAATAGACTCAGCTGGTCACTCTACGTAACTCTTCAGAGAGCGCCCCAAGAGCAGTGTTCACAGGCAAACTTTCCTCTCTCACAAGAGAAGCTGACCGGTCAACATGGGATCTGTATTTGTGCCGCTACCATCTAAATATGACAAAGAGGGCTTTCCTATAACTCATCATCATTTTGGATGTAATAAAAGAATATGAATACAAGAAGAATATAATAAGAATATGGAATGTTTTGGATTTCTGAGGTATTAAAAGCTGCAAAAACATGCTCTTGGAAACAGCACGTAACAATAGCAGAAAAAAAAAAAAGCCAGGGCAAACTCCAGAATATCAGTATTTACCTTCAGTAAATATTCAAAACCTACAAACGATGCTTATTTTGAAAAACACGAATCATAACCCTGGTCTCTCTTAAAAGAAGGCTGCTCAAAAAGACACTGGAAATTCTACTTGTGTTCACCTAGCAAAAAAACTGAGATAATTTAAGAGATTTATTTCCTCATCCAGCTCCTTACCGCACCCCTTTGCTGGAGGCTACCATTTCAGGGCAGAGTCCAGAAGGAAAGGCACACTCACACCTCAGCTGCTCCACCACAGAACCTGATGTCTGAGCAAAAACCCACCTTCAGAGATAATTGCACTCAAAATGAGGTTGGCTGAAGTGTGGGCACCTGCTCCTTTGTGACCGCTCTACTGCAAGGGTGGTGACCACTAGCAGAGATGGATAAGCAGCTAGGATGGAAACGCCCTAAATCTTTCCTGGAGTTCATCTGTCCAAACCCTAGGCAATGAATTAGAAAAAAACTTAGAAAAATGAAGTAAACATAATATTCCTGCATTTAAGCAGAAAAACAACCTTCACAATGCTCACATAATTACATGCTTACATTAATATGATGCTAGAAAAATACAAATATTATTTTGGCTAGAAAGACTGCTATGATAAAACTTGGTTAAATTAGCAACTTATTTTTGAAGCCATATGATTTTGCAATATTGTCTATTTTTTCAAAGATCTGTAGTTAAGGTGCATTTTAATGAACAGGTGAGAAGTACTATTCATTTTTGACACTATGATTAGAAGGCTGCAGGAACAGCATACAGTGTGTTCATGTACAATGAGCCTCATGTGTGCATGTAGTGGTGTTTGTCTACTGCATGCAGCTAGAAGATTACAGTACCTCGTTTCCTGTCCACATCTGTCCATTCATCTACACGAAGCATATAAAACAAAAACATCAGTTCAAGAAGTAAGAACAATAGTTTCAAGGAGAATAAAAGAAATAAACTAAAAAAAGGTTCTAACTAATGGACTTCGTTTTTTCTCATCAGCATGCAGCACTTAAGAAGAACAAACTCTTCTGTTACTTGACATCTTTCACTTTCAATGAGCACACAAAAGATGAAACCTTGCCCTGCCCTTGGAAAAAATCTTGTTGCTTCAATGGAGATAAAATTTTACCTTTGATTGAATCTCAGTGTGTTTTGCATTTAGCTTGGAAAGTTTTCAGCTGTTTTTTGCACTTACAAGTGAACAATATTTGAGTGAACAGTTTCAAGCATTAACAAACACCTCAGTGTGGATGAAACCACATCTCAGTAAAATTAACGCCCAATTTTTGGAAGATAAAATACATGCATGGATAAACTAGTACAGATCTAATTCTCCTGCTGAGATACTCCACCAGGTATGGCTAATTTAGTTTAAACTCTAAATTTAGAGCTGTATGAACAGTAGCAACCTTTTGTCAGCTCGTTCTCTGAGGACACACAGGAATAACTAAAAATTGCGCTGCTTTAGTGAAACCTTTGCTATTGTTTAGCACTTCTTCATATTGAATAGGCAGGAGAAGGAAAAAAAGTAACAACCTCTTCACTACAGAGTTAATACTGAGTTGATTTTTTATTACAAAATACTAAAGCTCCCTGAAGTGCATTCCCCATTGCATGACAGGAAGCTGCAAGAATTTTTAAAAGCAAAGCAGTTTTAAATTTATAAGTGGTAAGCAGAGAGGTGCTCAGCTGTAAGCAGGAATTTTTGTGCATGGACAGGGCTCTACTTTTACAATAGTTTTGACAAAATGCTAGACAGATTTTTATAAAAGCCAGACAAGGGTTTCAGGAGCTGTATTTACGTTATTGGAAGGTTGTTTTTTAATTGCGCATGCTTCTTCATAGGCTTTACAAAATTATTCCTGGAAACTAACTTCTGATTGCAAAGCCATCTGGTCTTCCTGAAACAGTTCAGGACCTGGACTGAGATGCCCAAATCCTGAGTTATTTCGATTCCAAAAGTGTATTTCTGAAGCTCTAACCTCTGAAACAAGTACAGAAACACCAAAATGTATTTCAATTTCTACCTTGTCGGTATGCATTTCACAAATTAACATCAATAATACCTTCAGGCAGTTATTACCACAGAAACTTCATGAGAGCTGATTAACTCAACAGGCTTTACTTCAAATTTAAGACAAGACAAACACACACGATTAATTACTGTGATAGGACTGTTACACCGTGGTGAGGAAACTACTTGTCCAAGACTCCTTTTGACGACAGACACTGGGATGCTCTTACTTCTCAAGCATCCTTCCAGTAACAGCACAGCGAGTACATTCGCATTTATTCCTGTATTACATCAAGAGAACCAGCACCACAGGAGGGAGCGGCCTCCTCTTTGCGGGGGAGGGCAGGAGGAGAGCCCTGCCCGGGGACGCGCACCG